CTGTGAACAACAGCCCTGAACCCTGCCCTACCCTGAACCAATCTCACCAACTCTGGCACACCTGCCCTCCACCGGCACACCCATCACTGTGTCCACCCATCTCATCCAGATCATCTTCTGTGCTCCACCCTCCCAAGCATGATGTCCTTCTCCAAGGACTGACAATATGCCCAAAGTTTATGAGATGAGCCTCACAATCCTTGTCTCCAAGGAGCAACCTGTTTTCACCCTTTCGAAGACAGACCTGTTTGTTCTCTTGGAGGTCCATGGTATGTTCAACACTCTTCTCCAGCACCACAACTCAAAGGCATAGATTATTCTTCTGTCATCCTTAGTCACTGTCTAGCTCTCAAATGCATTGCAGTAACTGATAAGACCATGGCCTGGATAAGGCTCACCTTAATTTGTGACAGAAGTGAAAGAGTGGCCTACGCAGCTTAAGTGGCCCTGTCTGAATAAGAAGCTGATTCTCTAACTGGCATAAATTAGTGTTCTCACAGTGACAGTGACAGGCTCATAAAATAGGGAACAGCTAGGAAAAAAAGACTTGTATGGGGATGAGGGAGTGGGGAGGAACTGAAAGACAAAACTCAGAGCATTCCAGGATATCCAAGTTCTTTTAAAGAATATTGTGTTTTATTTCTGCCACAGTCAGGGGACCTCACACGACGGGCGTATTCAAAGTTTGCAAGTCACACCACCGCAAACCCATCCACCCTGATTCCAATCAGAATGAAATGTGCTGAGCAGGACTTACTGCCGGCCTAGGTGGGGGTTTGACCTTTAATGTTGAGTACAGAAAACTTTTAAACGATAGTACAATAGTGGGAAGAGCAATTAAAAGGCCCTTTGTGTTCCCATCACCAGTCCGCTGATTAACTGCATTTGGTTTGTCGTTTCATTTACACCACCCCTTCTTCCTGCCCCCCCAATCCTGCATGGCAAGTGGGGCTGCACCCCTGACAGCCTCACATGGGCTATAGGCCTGGGAAATCTCACCCTCTGGGGTGGCTGGGAGAGGTCGGTGATGCTCGTGCTGGGACAGTGGTATCCACACACACTTCAGAGGTTTACCACAAGCTCCTAGGGCTCAGACCTCTTGTCTACAACCTTGACTATCTCTTTAAAGAATCCATCTTAAACGGACATATTCATTTTCACCTTCATGACAGCATTATTTACAACAGCAAAGAGGTGGGAACTGCTGTGGACTGAACTGTTGCTGTGTGGTGCCGAGTTGGAGGAGACTCAGAGCTGACCCTCCAGTGGGTTTTCAGAGGACGACAGACTGCCCCTCCTTCGTCCGTGGAGCTGGTGGATTCATGTCTAGGACTGAACTGAGGCACCCACAACCATGTGCATATGACTTGGAGGTTACATAACGACCCTCATGATCTGCTAAGCCAAGCAGCTGGAAGAGGATTAAGAAGGGGACTCTTCCCTCCAGCCCTGGTGTGGTGTTAGGGGGGCTCGCCTGGTGCAGGCAGCAACACTTCTCTCTCACAAGAGACAAAATTGGAGGAATAGGAGCAGAGAGGAGAGCAGCACACCCAGGAGAAAGGACCCCAGTTCCTGTACTGGGAAACCCCTAGAGCCAGGAGACAAGAAGACTTCTCCCAGAGCCGGCAGCACTCTGAACACGGACTTTCAGCCTCCGACACGGTGAGGGGAAGACCCTCACCCAGATGGGCTGACAAACTGACTGCTGCAATGAGCTCAAGGATGTCTGGAGGAACGAAGATGGCACAAGACGGACAGCGTCCAGATCTGGTGTTCGTAAGGTCGCTATGGGTTGTACTCGACTTGATGGCACTAAACAACAACAAACGGTGAGAGAATAAGCGCGTTTGCTAAAGCTCCCCACTAGTGGTAACCCCGTTAGGGCAGTACTAGGTAACTCGGTGCTTACCCACGGATGAGTTGAGTGGGTAAACAAGCCAGTCCCTACACTCCCTGGAGCGCTGTGGTCATGTGCCACGGGTGGGGCGCCAACTCAGTAACCCTACGAACGGCATAGCAAAGGAGCACACGCAGCTCGCTGTGGTGCCTTGGAACCAACTCAGCCAACCACTGGGTTTCCAAGACTGAAAATCTCACTGGACAAGATCACTCATCTTTCTCCCCCAAAGAAAGATGGTGGATTCAAACTGGCTGCTTTGGGGTTGGAAGCCCAACTCCCTACCCAAAAACTCAAGGGAGCACTTTATCCACAGGACTGATGGGCACATGAGCCACAGCCTGCACAGCCCCACAGGGAGAAGCAGGTGGTACCTGGTGCCCGGCTACCACCTCCAGCTGCTCTCGTGGGATCCCAACCGAGGGTGCTGGGAAGGATGGGTGGCGAACAGAGAAGCACAAAAATCAAAGTCATGAGAAACACCAGGCTGCCGCTAAGGCCCTGCAATTACAACATCCAAAACACCTTCTGATGCGGGCCCAAAGTCACTCCCAGAGACCACCTTTTAATCAAACAACAGATAGGACATATAGGAAACAGTAGCAACTAAGAAAATCATGGTCCTTAGAACAATCAACTATACACTCTCAAAAAGACTTCATCCACCCAAAAGTAAAGATCAGGCAGGAAGGGACAAGGATCTGAACAGGAAATGGGGAGCCCAGGGCGAACACCTTATATACAAACTATCAAACAAGAAAATAATTTGCTCAATAAACTTTGATTTCAACTCTTAAAAAATAAATTCAAGAGAAAACAGCTCAAGTCCTTAAATCATCATCAGTAAGACTCAATAATTAGGGGAAATAACGTAAAAGATAATCAGTCGGTATTAGTTACTGATCAGAGATCCATTTCAGAGTAATTAAAGCAGGGAAAGTGCCTGTCAACTATGAATACCACACTTGGCTGAGCCAGTCCCTGGCATCTGTGCCTGGCGTGGTTGGAGGCTTGGGTTTCTAGGGTTTTCGGACCCCAACCCAGAGCCCCAGGGTTTTCCCCACATACTCCCAAGGAGGAATCACCTCCACTGGTGGCAGGAGGAGAGAGTGGAGTCATCTTTCCTTCTGAAAAATGGAACACTGGAAGTATGCAAAGGTTGCTCCAAATCTAGGGCTCCAGAAGTGTGGGGAGGGCAGCCCTGTAGAACCAGGCAATGTGAGATCTGATCTCTGCTACGATGGGTTCACAACAGTCCTGCAAAGCCGGGCAACGCTGAGATTAGATCCTGCTGGGACGGGCTTCACAACAGTTAGGGATCCACTTCAATCTCCACCCCAGAGCACCTTGCACAGAGCTCTGCTTTGGCGATCCACTGGCCTCTTTCAGAAGCAGGAGGACCTTGCTTCCCCACCCGAGCGGCATGCTCGCACAGGAAGAGCCCTTCATTTCTGCAGAAGGGTGCAGAAGGGTGTCGCAGGAGAGCCACAGATTCACCTTGGGCATCCTCGTCCTCCTAAGCCCAGCTTGCAACCAAGCTTTTGACGAAACTCCCTTCTTAAGCAGAAAAGAATCTCAAAGAAATTTCTCCCAAACAGCAAAAGAAGAAAATGCTATACAACCCCATATCACTTACTGCAGAAATATCTGCCCTGCAAAGATTTTCTCTCTTAAAACATAGAAAATCCTTGTTGGGAGACAACAGAGGAACACATCAACAAGGAAGGCTGGGTGCTCCGTGCTCTAGGCAACCAGCACAAAGCCCGAGATGTGTTATGGTCTCAAATATCTATCTGGAGGCCTCAGGGTCCCTGCTGCCCAGTGGAAGTGCTTTTTTTAATCTCACAAGAGATTCAAGCCCTTCTCCTGAGAAAAGCCCAGAGCCGGACTCGTTTCCTCACAAGAGGTTAACTGTCCCTCACTCTGGGGATGAGAACTTGGGCCCTGACAACATCAGGACATAAAGAGCTGGGACACCAGCCGACCTCTCACTCCTGCCACTAAGTGGACCGGGGTTATCTTCAGTGAACAGCAGCATTACAGAGAATCGTAATGCCTTGTCTGATCTCTATAGTTTGTCTCGTCTTTGGTGCCTATAGTCTTGATAACCAATCTGCACATCTAGACTCGACTTAAACAAGACAGCAGAACAGTACAGGGCCAGTAACGGGTCTCTGATGTCAGGCAAGCACCAGTACTGGGTCTGTGGCCTAAGGCCAAAGACAAACAGGAACGTTGATCATTCCCATGGGTCTGCTGTGAGGCCCTTTTGACCCCAGCAGGTGACCTAGGACTGTCTGTTGAGCAGCTGTACCGCGTGACAGCAGACTGTCAACATCTGCCAGTCCATAAGCTCCCGGCTCTGAGAGGCAGGTTACTGCTAACAAAGCCAGATGATCTAAAAAGAGCAAAACCACGCTTCTGTTAACCAGATCACGGTAAAAGCATGGCTCTTGCCCGGTGATGGCCCTTACCCACATACCCTAAACCACAGGAAGAAAGGGACCAGCAGGTGCCACAGCCACAGCACCTCTGCTGAGGTCCCTTTCCTACACATCAATGTCCAGGTGAAGGAGCTCTGGCCAAAGCTGGGCATTGTCACTCTGTGGTTCCTCTTGAGCATAGGGGATAATAAAGAAAAGAGACCCTTCATTCATCCCATTACATGTGCATAGGAGAAAGGGGGGGGGGTAGAGATCCTGTTGAAACTTAAGGACTAGAACTTTTTTTAAATCTGGGGAGCTGAATAGCCCCACAGATGTAACCAAAACATCAAATCTGAAAGCCTCCCTAGTGAACAAAGGAGCATGAACCTGGTGGCCCCAGAAAGAACCTATGGTCGCTACAGATTTTCTACAAGGAGGAAAGAAGCCATTCTGACTCCCCAAAGTCTACCCAACTGCTCCTGAAGAAGTGGGAAGAGGTCACTGTACTCCAAGGATCAGGAGGCAGAATTGCCTGTTCCCTAGAACAAGATCTTTCCCCCACTCCCCAGCCCTGGGGATCCCCATCCAAGTTCTCTAGACAGTTCCATCTGTGACAGCACCATTTCCCCCATGTCCTGGGCACTCCAGAGGCAGTTAGCTGGGCACCCAGGGCTGGCCTACTTGAGGGAGCAGATGGAGAGCGTGCCACCAGCCGAGAACACCCAGAAGGCCGGATACAGTGCTTCGGTGAAGTCCACCTTGTACTTATATAGCAGATGGACCTTGTCAGAGACAGCGAAGAAGATGACGAAGCCCGAGTCACAGTTGAGAAGCACCCCGACCCGAGTGGCCTTGGTGGAGGGCAGGGTTTTCTCCACGTTGTTGTGCCAGGCTGAGATCTTGGTGTTGAACCACTCCACGCACCAGGAGGTGCTGTTGCGGCCCAGCCGGCTCTCAGGGCCCTGGCGCTCCATGGTGCCGTAGCAGACGCCCACCCCACAGAAGTTGTTCTTCTGCAGCTCCACCTCCCAGTAGTGGACTCCTCTCTTGTAGCAGTTCAGGCCCAGCACCTGAGAGCAGTAGGTGAATCGCTGGGGATGGGGCCGGTAGTTCTGGGGGGTGTCGGCCACAGACGCTACAGTGTAGTGTTCCGACAGCGCCACCTTGATGTGGGCCGTGTTGAAGTCCAGGACAACTTTTGCAGCATCTGGAAATGGAGGAGTTACAAGCAATCTAAACACCGTCACTTTTAAACCTTCTCCCGGTGAGGACTACTGGTTCATTTATTTCATCCATCATCCAGCCAGCCATCACTCCAGTTGCCTATCCATCTATCTGTCACCACACTTCCATGTGTCCACCCGAAACCATGTCCTGAGCACCTGATTCAGGCTGGATTCTGTGCCACATATTCAACCACATATCAGAAAGACACGGAGCTTCATGAAGTTTCTAGAAAGTTCAATAAGCAAGGTCTGTTAGCAAGTAAACCCCCAGAGAAAGGGATAAGCTGGGATCAAGAAGAGGAGAATCCAAAGAGCTGCCTGTGAAGTCTAAGCTAGCTCAGAAGAGAGATGAGGAAAAACAAGGCTTAAAGAGCAATAAATAGAGGGCTGGTGAAGGAAGTAGCTGACTGAGGAGGCCAGGGGGACCTTCAGATGGAGCTCAAGTCCAGGAATTACTCACATTCCAGGAGCTCAGGTCTGGACTTGGCCAAGAACGCCTCCAGCACGTTGAACTTGAGAGCTGTGTTCGACTGTGCGGGAGCAGCTTTGGCTGTATGCGGAGAGGAAAACGAGAGAACTGTTTACAGAACCAATTCATAGTGCAAACCCCAAAGCCCTTAGTCTACCAGAACTCACCCTCCAGGTCAGCTTGTTCCGATGCTTTGAAGTTGGGAACCTTGCTCGATGAGGCAGAGAAGACAATGGCTGTGGAAGAGGGAGGGGAAAATGGGTTGACCTTGTGACACAGGGTGACTAGTCTCTCTTCTCCTCAGAGCTGCCTTCCAAGAAGCTCGTCCACACACACACACACACCTGAGCTGCCCAGGCAATGCAGGTGGGTCCAGACAGGGCTACCATCATCTGACCTTACTTATTGCCACTGTCCTCATCTCCAGCCTTAGATCTGCCTGTCATTACAGGCTACCATCCTAACACCCAGGGCCCCTCCACAGAACTCCAGAAAGTGAGCCTGGCTGTCGCTCCCAGCATTTAATTCTATACTTGGCTGGTTTCAAGAAATAAATAAACAAAAATAGAGGAAGGAAAAACTTACTGGATTTCTTGGATTTCTTTTCATCTTCTGAAAAAGAAAGTTTCCATAATTAACAAGCATGTAAAGTGCATCACAACGACATTTTCAAAAGATCATCTTAACACTCATTTGCAGGAATCCGTTCGGTTGCTCAGACAAAATAAAGCTGGTGATTTTGAACTTGAAGAATATAAGGAGTCAATAGGCAATATGGATCTATGGTAACGGAAATCCGATCAGGTGCTGGGGGGGGACTATTAATAAGGAGCTTGAGGGAATTTTCTAGATGACCAACATTCTTTCTCTTGATAATACACATACCTGTGTCTATTATAATTTTTCCAACTGTACATTTAAGCTCTGCATTTTACCGCAGGTAAATGGTATCTCCATAAAAAAAAAGGAAAAATTCAAATGAAAGAAGTCAGAAAAAATGTGTTTTTCAAAACACCTCAAGTAGGGGAGCTCTGGTGGCCTAGTGGCAAGGAGCTGCAACTACAATCCCAGAGGCACATGGTTCAAATCCACCAGATGCTCTGCCGGGAAAAGGAGGGACAATCTCCTCCTGTACCAGTCAGATCTGATTTGACGGTACACTCACACAAAAATTAAAAAAACAAACAAACAAAAAAAAAACCCCTCAAGTATGAGCCCATAGGGACTAATATTGCAACAACAGTGCTTCTCCAAGTGTGGTCTCCAAGTTGGTAACAGCATCACCTGTGAACTTTAAGACATGCACATCCTCAGACTCACCCCAAACCTTGCCACCAAACACTCTGGAGACAGGGCAGCAACCCTATTTTTCAAGCCCTCAGGGTGATTCTGACAAAAGTTCAAGTGTAACATCAGGATGAAGGGGTATTTGGACCCCATTTCTTGTTCTCTTACCATTGTCATCTTCCCCATGGGACCTCTCACGGTCCCAGGTGCTCCTCTAACTACTCTTTTCACAGCTAAATTCCCCCAGGAATTGTCTTCATGCTCTCCTCATTCTCATCTGGCCAGAGGCCCCCAGGCCGTGGTGGTGGAGTAGGCACTCTCCCTGGTCACTACAGCCCTTAAATGTCTCAGCTGTGTGGTGGCCAGTCCATCCCTCCTTAGCTATTTCTCCACTTCAGTCTATTTATGCTGAATCACTTTCAACATATGGAATCCTTTATTCACTCCTGAACTTAACACTTATGGTTCTCCCATGAAAGCCTATACAGAGCCATTTTCAACATACACGAGGCTTAACTCATTCCTATACTGACTTTTATGGTTCCAATGTTTTTCAAGATCCACAAAGGGGAGCAATGTGTCATTCCAAGGGGGCAGGAGGGGGACAAATACTAGCCAAGAAGAATGAGGCTAGTATTTGATTCTGAGCAACAGTGAGGAAGCTTTTAGGGGACGTCTCCTTTTTGATGAGTTTTTAGGTTGTACAAATGGCTAAACTCTTGACTGCTAACAGAATAGGTAGAGTACACCCAGAGGTACCTCAGAAGAAAGGGCTGGCAATCTATTTAAAAAAAAATCAGCTAGTGAAAATTCCACAGAGCACAGTTCTACTCTAGCAGGGAGTTACCATAAAGCAAAACTGACTCAAAAGCAACTGGTTTAAAAACCAACTCAAAAGTAACCCTTCTGGGCAAGCTCTGGTGGCCTGGTGGCAAGAAGCTGCACTGCAATCCCAGAGGCGTGCGGTTCGAATCCACCAGATGCTCTGCTGAAGAAGGAGGGGCAATCTCCTCCTGTACCAGTCAGATCCAATTTGATGGTACACACACACACAAATAATAATAAAATTTAAAGGAAAAAAAAAAGTAACCCTTCTGAAGGATCAGAAGGACCATGGTTTGTTTCTTCTCCACTTCCCTGGAAGGAGCAGGGACACCTGTGTCTCACTCTGGTGTCTCCAAGTCATTGGTGTGCTGTGGCCTGGAGAAAATGGTGGGGTACTTACTTGGGACCTTCTTCACTGGGCGTGGCAACTTGTACATGGTGGATGGGCCATGTTCTCCAGGATCACCTGGGATAAAGAAAAGAGATTTTTGTTTATTCAGCTCTTTCCCACCAACACATTTTGCCATGCACCGATGGGTTTATAAAGGTAGTGATTTCCACTGATCCTCCCAATGCAATAATTTTTCTACAGAAAGAAGGTGCTAGAAGGGCCAATTTGCTGGCTCCCACTGTCATCTGGAATATCTGGAGTGGAGCATAACCGGGATCAAGTCTTTTCTCCATCACCACCCAGCTCGGTGACCTCTCTGCGCTTGGCTTCTTTCACCCACGTGTACAGTGAGACTGATTCCACTGTGCTCATGGCTCATGTGACCAAACAAGACCACGAAGCCTGGTGCGTGACTCGCTGAATCAAAGTTTAACTTCCTTCCTGCAGGTCTTCTCTCTCCCACTTCCTCCTCTAGACCTTAGCTAACACAGCAGGACAACACACATGTGGCTAATTCACGACAGCTTTCCTGGCTACTAAGCACATTCACTGCCTGGACCACCGTGGCGCCACGTTGCAGTCTGTTTCAGAGGCACTCTTCTGCAAGGATGCTCATCTTGCCAAGCAGAAACACAAGCCCACTCTCAGGTCATGCCAGACACGGGGGAGAGAGGAATAGACAAGAAACAGACTTGCCCTCATAGCAGAAGCATAATCTAGTGGGGGAGGTAAGACAGGTGCCAAGAGGCAAGGTCAAGAGATCATAGAAATCCTATGACCTAGTGTGGAGACTGAGAATGGTGGCGGGGGACTTGTAGAGAAAGTAATGCTTCAACCAGAGTTTTGAAGGGTGCTGACTGGTGAGGATGGAACCTTCTGGACAGTGGGAGAAGCGCATGTGCAAGGGCCCTGAGGCATGTTTCAGAAAATTAATAGAGGTGGGCAAGGACGTGCGTGCTTGTAGGCTAGAATGTGGTCTAAGAGCATGGGAATCCCTGAAGCAGGGAGCAGCAGTGAAGGGAAATGGCCCTGGGGGTCAGATATGCATCCTGAAAAGCTCTCTTTGGCTGCAACAAGAGTAGGAGCAGACGGACCATTTAGAAAGCTGCCACAGTCATAGGCACAGGAGATGGCTGTTAGGGGCAGGCTGGTGGTGGTGCTAGGCTTGAGAGCAGTGGAATGGGCCAGGAGGCACGCAAACCCTGGTGAGGGATTGGATATGGAGGCCAGCACTAGAAAAGGGAGCATTGCAGAGCATTTCTAGGCTTCTCTGACCCCTCTCTTCAACTAAATAGCCTCTCTTCAACTAAATACATCGAAGGCTCCAAGTTCATTCAAAGTCCATCTCTGCCTACCTCAACTGTCACACTCCAAAAGAGCTTGTCCAGAAGGACTCATCCCAACAAGACCCTGCCACTTTCTAGAAGGAATAGCTTTAAAGTTAGGATAGGCCAAAGACTTCCCACTGCCCCCAACAAAGGGTGGTGCTCCAAGGCCCATGAGACCCAGACCCCGAGTCCTCCCCATCACAGCCCCTTTTCCACCCAACTCCTCAGGCAGCTTCAGGGCCCCTCTGGGGAAGTGTGGGGGTCGCTCGTGGTCACCTGAGCTGGGGGAGTCCTCGGGCTTCCTCTCCTGGGACTGCCTGATGTGCCGCTTCAGCTCGTTCTTGAGGTCTATTGTGCTCTGACGGACCCCATTGATCAGCTCGTGATTCAGCTCGACCTTGGGCACGTAGACCGGCTTTGTTGAGATTGCTTGCAACTTTGAGGCTTTCTAGAATGAGCCAGAGGGTTAGTTCAGGCAGCTTTGGGGGAGCCAGGGCCTGAATTCTACCCTCATGTGCCCACAGGGGATTGGTCCACCCAGCCTTTGCATGTGAAAGAGGGGGGCCACCAGGGGTTAAAGCGCCACTTGGAAACAGCCACCTGGAACTGAGAGGGAAAGCTGAGGTCTGGGGATGACAGTGGCCTACCAGGAACCCTGCCAACTAGGAGCAAAGGTGAGCTTGGGACCCAAGTCTCCACACCCACACCTGGGCAATGTTCATCCCACTCCACCCCAAGAGACGTGCAGATGACTCGGTACCATCTTTACCCACTGAGGAGAAATCTAAAACAAGTTCTGATGACGGCGGAGCCAGAGCATGCCCTACAGGGACTGAGGACCGTGGGAGCAGCCCCAAACTTCGGTCATATAAGAGGCCCAGATGAGGACTCGGAATAATTCCTAGAGAGCCCAAGGCACCTAGTTCACAAAATAGGGATGAGACTTCATGGCATCCAGGGCCAAGGGAACAGAAGAAAAGCCCGTGACCAGGAAAGGAAGTCCTTATTCTTCCCAGGACTCTTTCTGGGTCCTGAACAGTGAAGTCTATGCAGTACAGGGCCAGAGGCCCAGTCAGCAGTGCTTACACAACAGCCCCTGCAGGCCAGATGCTCTGCAGACACCCAACAAGCCGGAGGAAGAGGTGGCAGTAATGGGTGGACTCCACCCACCCGAGGGGACCACGGAAGCAAGCACGTCTGAAGCATCAGCACATGCTCTTTAGTGTAGGTGGTGTAACGTTCTCAGCAACACCACTGACAGCACCAGCAATCGGCACAGTAGGGCGTGCCCAGGGCGATGGCCTAGTCACTGGAGCGGTCTGGAGAAGGACATGAGACTCGTGAAGACAGAGCAACTCCTCCCAAGATTATGTTATATGATGTAGCAAAGCTGAAGGAATTTCGCAGATACAATTCAAATTCCCAACTGATCAAATTTAATTCATCAACAGGGCAAGGCAAGTAGCCTGGCTGGGCTGGGCCTTTGGCAGAACTCAGATGCCAAATGAGAAGAGGGATACAAGGCGGGGGACTGCAGAAACCACTAGTAGCCGAGAGCAGGCCCTAGCTGACAATGGGAAAGCAGAGACCTTCACTTTAGAGCTGCAAGGAATGAAATCCTACCACTAACCACATGAGCCTAGACGAGGACTCAAAGGCATTAACTTGGCTGACAACCACAGGGCAGCCTTGAGATGCCACCAGACAACCCAGTAAGCCAAGCCCGGAACCCTGAACCACAGAAATTGCGAAATAATCAATGTCCACTTCTAGAAGCCATGGCTCTTACACTAAGTTGTTGGCGCCACGGACTTGAAACAGCACGTCTCAGGGATGCTGCCAGCGGCCCCTCTTCCAGCCCCATCTCACCAAGACCCACCTCGAGAAACTCAAACTCATCTCCCTTGGTCAGCTGGGCTTCAATTTCCTCCTTCAGTGTCTGGATTTCACTCTTCTTCTTTAGAAGGATCTGAAAGATGTTTTCAAATTTGTTGTTGACCCTCTTCTCCTCTTCCTTTATCTTCCGTGTAGAGCTGGCTTCCGAGGCATCGATGAGAGCCTTCATTTCCAAGTACTCTTGTCTGATTACATCAATCTTCCTGTTGGCTGCCTCCTACAGAGGGCCGAGACAAGACAGGAGGGACCGTCAGACTGGTAGGTGCTAACCCTGCAACACCAAGGTGATACATGGCGAGGACTCCCCGTCCTCCGTGGCAGTAAAAACTGGAACAACCAAGTTGAAGGGCAGTTTGGCAAACTTGAGTAAATCTCAGGGGCCACTGGTGGTTCAGTGTGAGTATCATGAGCAGCCCCCATTGTCAGTGGAGACTTGTATGTTGCTATGATGCTGAATGGGTTTCAGTGAAACTTTTAAAATAAGACTAAAAAAAAGAAATAAAAATAAAAAACACCCAAAGCCTAAAACGTACAGCTGTTGAGTCAAAATAATGACTCGAAAGTCAGACTCAGCATCAACATGACTCTGGAAACCATACATGCTTTCAGAAGCCATGCATGGCAAGGGAGAATACTACCCTCTTTCTCCCAAAAAGTAGCTAGTGGATTTGAACCGCCCACCTCTGGGCTGGCAGCACAACTCCTCACCCACTAAGTCAAAAGGTTTGACTCTCTTCTTCCATGAATCAGTCAATGAAAACCCTCTTTCTCCATCAACAGTCTGATCCTATTGTGCATGAAGTCACCACAAGTAAGTGGCTGGCTTGGCAGCAGCTAACAACAGCAGCCACTCTGAAGGAGCTCTGGGGGCCCAGTGGGCAAGAAGTCATGCTGCCAAGCCAAATGCAGACGATTTAAACTGCTCTCCAGGAAAAGAAGGGCAGGTTCCTCTCGTTTAATTTACAGCTTCTGAAAACCTGCTGGAGGGGCAGCAATGACTCAGTGTGACCTGACAGTACTAAGTGGGTACTGGTTTGTTTTTATATTATATACACTATGGGCTAATCTTGGAAAGAGGAGTGGCATCCACTTCCGTAACAGCTTGCCTCCAGAAACCCTATGAACCTGGAGAGAGGATGAAAGGCACCCAAGAGTCAAGGACTCTCCTTCATAGGGTCGCTATGAGTCATCTGCGACTCGACGGCACTTAACAACAACAACAACATGGGCTAATACTCCAATCCTAGGAATATACCTTAGTAAATTTCCCAAACACCTACCTCAAAGACAAACACATTAAAATAGCAAAACATGGAGATAACCTAGATGTCCACCAATAGCCAACTGGACATACAGCTTGTAGATTAGATACAACATACATTAGCAGTAATAATACTCAATGCACTGGAGCAGCACACAGATAAATCCCCATGAAGAGAAAGCAGCTAGTAGAAGAATACCTGTAGTATAATGTTCTTTATCCAGAGCTCAGAAACAAGTAGAAAGGTGGAATTCAGGGGAAAGTAGGATTCTATTGCTGGAGAATGCATACACATACAAGAAAAGTGTAAAGCAGTATATGGAGGTGAATGAGTACATTAAAACAGCAGCTAATTTTAGAAGAAGGGAGATATAAAGGAAATGCACAGAGGTGTGTTCATTGATGACATTTTATTTTTTTTAAGCTGAGGGTTCATGAGCAATTTTCTTAAAAAATAAAAAAGACAGGATACAGCTCTAGAAAAACTCTCAAGACATCAACCTCCAGAACGACGTGCTCCAATCCCATCGTCCCTCTTCACGTGTGCCTATTAAACACCTGAAATGTGGCTAAACTCTTCAAAGAAAATGGTCATGTCTCTAGATGTCTTGGTACCCAAAACAGTAAGAGATCTCATGTGCACTTTTTATTTCTTGACTTACATGTTGAAATGGTAATATTTCAGACATTGGCTAAAAGTTAATAAATTCTTAACATGAACTTCCTGTGTCACTTGATTTAAAATTCCATAGAGGGTCACATCTCGTTTCTCTCAGGCTGCCCTGCTTCAGAAGCCGCAGTTTCTCTTGTATCTGGGGAAACCGCAATAGCTCAGAATCAACATGACAAACAGAAACACACCTAAGGAAGGTCGTATGCAGGGGGCATGGAAGTCAAGTATTTCCTTCTCTTACCCTTTACTCTGCCACTTCCAATACGGTGGCCATGTCCATGTCCCCCTTTTTCCTTTTAGTAAGAGCACATTCTTGAGGTTCCAGCTGCACAAACAGCTGCCCAAGGAGTCCTGATGGCTCAGTGGCTAAGAGTTCAGCTACAAACTGAAAGGTTGGAAGTTCAAACCCACTCAGTAGTCCTACAGAAGAAAGACCTGGAAATCTATATAAATTACCACACAAAAACCAAACCCACTGTTGCTGAGTCAATTCCTACTCAGCAACCCCACAGGACAGAATAGAAACGCCCAGAGGGTTTCCAAGGGTATAAATCCTTACAGAAGCGGACTGCCACATCCTTCTCCTGAGGACTGGTGGGTGGGTTTGGACCAATGACTTTGGTTTGCAGCCAAATGTTTCACTCCCATGCCACCAGGACTCCCACAATAGATCGCTTTTGTTAGGGGCCATCAAGTCAACTATGACTCACAGCAGCCCTGTGAACAAAAGGTCGAAAGTGAGCCCTAGCCTGTGCCATCCTCACAATCCCCTCCATGTCGCCCAAGCCCACTGTTACAATCACTGTGCCAATCTAGCTTGCTGAGGCCTTCCTTTCTTCTGACAACCCTCTACTTTTTCAAGTAGGATGTCTTTTTTTCCAAGGACTGGTGCCTCCTACAACATGCCCGAACTAAATATGTGAGATGATGTTTCAGTTGGAAAACTATAGGACAGTTTGATTCCATCGCATGAGGTCATTACGAGTTGGAATCGACTCTGTGAGACTCAACATCAATAAAGTGGCTGTTCAGCTGTAGGCTACGTTTCCTAGACGCCCCTGCAGCTAGGTGTGGCATGTGGCTAAGCCGTGGTAAGAGAAAAGTTTCCTTCTTCCACTTCTTTCCTGCTTCCTTTTCCCACAGAGCTAGGACAAAGATGTAATGTTGCCCCAGCTTCAATCAAAGAGATGAACTGACACCCTACGGAGCCGTGATGAAGTGACACCCTACGGAGCAGTGGAGCAAGAAGGAAGAACCCTGAATCCTTGAATGATCACATGGAATAGAGCCAGTCCTTCTAGTATGGGTACCTGCTCGTGCCTGAATGCTACTGCTTTTTTGTTTTGTTTTGTTTTGTTTTTTTAACTCTACTGTTTTAATGAACAAAATAAACTATGCTATTTAAGCCTCTGAATTTGAGGGGGGTATCTTTATTATTCCCTCCCATGTGGTTAGTCTGTCCCTAACCAATGAAAATACTTTCACATGCAATCTTTGATTCAAGCCACACGGCTTTCTTCAGAAAGAGGAGCTGTGATTCTGCCAGGCAGACTAGAAAACTGAGGCTCAGAGATCTACCAACACACACACAACCACACAGACTAGCAGGTAACAGCTGGTATTCTAACTTAGATTGCATCGAATTAAGTCACAGGTGTCACAATAAAATATTTTGTTCTGCAGCTCTGGAAAAAAAAAATACCCCTTTTAAAAATAATTTCATGAAAAACTGATATAACTTTGTTGAGCAAAAATCTGAAAAATTTAAGGGAAATAACATATCCCTAATTATACCACTCCTTTGGGCATATTCTCTGGAGAACCCCGTTCTTGCAGAAAGACAACATGCTGGAAAAGGTGGAGGATCAAAGAAAGAAAGGAAAACCCTCAGCAATAAGGTCTGACACGGTGATTACCAGAAGTGCTTAAACATGACAGCGGTCATGAGGATGGTGCAGGTCAGGGACAGGTCTGTCGTTCAAAGGGTCAAATGACTTGTGAGTGACTCAACAGCGCCTAAAAATAACCACTCTAACACTTCTGCTTTTATCTTTTAACTATTCTTTTTTCACTCTTTTTTCCCTCTCTTCGGTAATAGAATAGTGACCCTCCCCAAAAAAGATATTCAGATTGCCGTATCTGCGAATATCATCTTATTTAGAGAAAGTGTCTTTGCAGATGTAGTTAAGGACCTTGAGATAGATCCTCAAAAAGGGTTTTAAATTCAATGACAAATATCCTTTTCAGAGAGAGAAGGCAGCGTGGACACAGGAGGCCAAATGAAGCCAGAGACTGGGGTTTCACTAGAGCCTGGGTGGCCTAGAGGGTAAAGACTCGCTCTGTCAACCCAAAGGCACGTGATTCATATCTCACCAGCTGCTCTGCAAGATAAAGATGGGCGATCTTCTCTCGTGGGATTCACTGCCTCTGAAACCCCACTGGAGGATCAGCTATGAGCTGATTCCAACTTGACAGCTCAAAATAACAAACCAAGGAATGCCTCGAGCTACCAGAAGCTGGAAGAGACAAACAAGAAACCTTGGAGGGAATGTGACCCTGCCAACGCCTTGAATTTTGATTTCTAGCATCCAGAACCAGAAGAGAATCCATTTTTGTTACCTCAACCTATCAGGTGTAATAATTTGTTATTCCAGCCTTAAGAAACTGATACAGGTCAGTTTAGAAATTACTACAAGCCCAATGATTTCTTTTGCTTCCTGTTTTGTTTTTGCTTTGTAGCATAACCACCACTTTTCTTAAAACCCCAATTTTTAACAATCGCCTCAAGATTAGATTTTTAGGCCACTCTTCCACTCAGGGCTGTAGAGGCTTTCTTCAGCACATAGCTTCTTGCACATTTTTCCAGGATAAAGGTGAATTCACATCCCTGGGAGCTAAGGTCAGGGCCACGTCTGTCCTGCTTGGCCAGCTGGCGGAGGCTGTTACTCACCCGCAGGTCTTGTTGCCTGACTCGCACGTCCTCCAGCGCCTTTGACGCACCATTGATCTGACTGTACATGATGGCCAGTTTTTGCCTCAGCTTGTTCTGCAGAGAAAACAAACCAGGGTGAGAGGAGGCCACCTCTTTACTCGGCCCAACACCAGCATCCAAGCACTGGGACAACCACCCTGAACCTGTCTCCTGGGTGATTCCTCCACTCCAATTCTCACCTGTTTGGTTCTTTTGGAGCAGGAAAGAGAATAGGATTGAGGATACCTCTGTTCACTGCAATGCTGATTATAATAGCCAAAAGGTGGGAATTGCCTTCTGTCCAACATGTATCAACTTAGAAACAGGCTGAATGAAATGAGCTAGTCACAAAAGGACAAATACTTTAAGAACCCATTTACATAAGAGATTATGTGGAGACTAAAATCTATTAGCGGTTACCACTGGGTGGGGTACAGGAAAATACATTCCTTAGGTGATACTAAGTTTCTGTTAACAAGAGTGAAAAAAAGTTCTAGAATGGTTAATGTTGACTGTTGAACATGATGAATATAACTGATGTGTACATGTGAAGACTCTTGAAATAGCAAATGTTTTTGTTGCCCATAGATTTTTCAAGGAGCTCTGGTGGTGCAACAAACTGAACTTTTGCTAATTCAAAAGTCAGTGGTTCAAAACCACTGGCCACTTCAGAGGAGGAAGATGGGGCCATAACTCCAGTAAAGATGGGCAGCCTTGGAAATCTTTCCTCTAGAGTCACTATGCATTGGGATCAATTCAGTGGCAATGGATTTTTGTTATAATTTTTTTTTAAAAATTCTTTTTTTTTTTTTTTTATTTTGTGTGCGTGTACCGTCAAATCAGATCTGACTGGTACAGGAGGATATTGCACCTCCTTCTCCGGCAGAGCGTCTGGTGGATTCGAACCGTGTTCCTCTGGGATTGCAGTGTAAAAAATTCTTTGAAGCAAGAAAGTGAGAGTCAAAGTCCCAGTTCCCACTGTACAACCTGCTTCCACTTCAGTTTAATTGGTCACTGTAAAAAGAGCAAGTATGGAGATGACCATACTTGTAAAAAGAGTAAGCATGCAGACGACCATACTTGACCTTTATCAACTTCACAAAATGGAACTGTCCCCATCAACAATATCAACAACACAAAACCAATTCCCATGAGGTTAAACATGCTTCCCCCATGCTCCTGCACTTCTTTTTACTTATCCCAATTTTACCGCTTTACTGATTCCAAAATATAACACAAGACCTCACAGAAACTGGAGAAGTGAAAAGGTTATTATCCAGGTTAGTAGCAGCATACAGTAAGGACAGCCTCTGAAATGTGATCACAGACACTTGACCCTCATGGCTTTAGGTCAGAGTCACAAAGCTCAGTCCTGCCAATTACGGCTCTTCCCTCCCCCTCAGCTGTACAACAAACTTGGGCAAAAAAAAGTCTTTTAGCTCTGGTTCAATGACACAGCAGTCGCAAGGACTGCTCTATCTCACGTCAGGTCTTTGATTCTCTGCTATAAATGCTGCAGCTGCTGCTCAGGTAGGTCCTGGTCTGACTGGTACAAGAATCTCTCACTCTGAAGAACGTGGACATTCTCATTTCTTCTTTGTTGGTGGTGAGATTTCATCAATTCTGCTGCTGGATCTGCGCAATGTAATAGTGAGACTAACCAATCCCCTGAGGGCAGACTAACAACCCTAATCGCATATTCCCACCCATGCACAAGGCAAAGTAAATGAATGGATAGGGAAGCCACTTTGAACAATAAGCCATTAAAACCACAGTCACAAAAATTGTTACAAACGTTCTCCTTAACAGGGTTGTCAGGAGGATGAACTGAAATCCTGTAAATCCTCAACACAGGACTTGGGTCTCAGGAAACTGATATTCTTACGAGTTTCATCACTGTTACCTGTGTTACAGCTGCACATTTTACTTATTTTAAGACTAAGGCGAGAAGGACAGCAAAATGACCAGCCTCATACAGAGACTGACTGAAACAGTGGGCAAGCTGCGTCAGTCATGATGGATGAGGTCGTTCCAACAGCCCTCCCACCGTAAACAAGCAGAAAGTACATGAGATACTAAACTTTAATAATAATAATAATAATAATAAATCTGCTTAAGAATATTGGCGAGCTAAGCAGGCAATGCAGGAGCTAAAATCTGGGAGGAAAAACCTAGAAGGCTAAGCCTGGCCCCTGGGTCATTATTCCCAGGGCATCTGCCAATTCTTAAGTCAGCTAGAAAAAAATCTCAGCCTCAGGGAGCCAAAAAGCAGAGTGCAAGGCTCAGCTGGTGAACCCCAGGCTGGGAGCACCAAGGGCTATAAGCAAGAAGGAACAGGCAGTGCTGACCAGCCCACAGAGGCTACAGTCCAGGTGCAACTGACCTGAGGTGATTCAGAGTTGCTAGGTCCCAAGTTACCTCTAGAAATAAAGGTCAATTGTCCATGAAGGAGGATATCATCATCCCAGGCCTCATATTACTTCTGTAATTACTTCTGTAAATTTTCCTAATCCAATCGGAGTCTCCTCTCTCCTTGGGCCAATAAAGTGTACAAACACAGACATGAGAAGGAAAATAACCATCACCTGTTGCCATCAAACTGGAAAGCCATGCATTGACCCCACAGGTCAGGGTAGTGCTACACTCCGTAAGTTTTCAGTGGCTAACTTACAAGTGGTTCACCAGGACTTTCTTCGACGTGCCTCTGGGTGAACTTGAACCTCCAACTTTCTTTTAGTAACCAACCATGTTAACCATTTATACCCCCATTTACCACCTCCATACCATAGTAAGAGTAAATGCCCCCCACCTCTAAAGTCAAAGCCTCTGCTACTGAGTCGATTCTGACCTATGCTGACCTTCCATTAGGTCATAAATCTTTATGGGAGGAGATTGCCCACCTTTCCTCTGCAGGTCACATGTTAACACACTAGAAGCTACTAATTTATGATGCACTTGCTATATCTCTCTGCTAAGAAACCCCTTTAACAGATAAGCTTTCAGATGCTAACCAAAATGTTCAAACCTATCAAATGTCTTCACGGGAAGGTCTGCCAATATACTCTTGTAGATTCTTACTGCCATCAAGTCAGTTCCACACTATGTGGCAGTCCTGCTCTGTCCTTCAAGGTCATTACGGAGCTCTGTGGGCGTAGTTCATACCAAGAAAGCTGCACATCTTCAGAGGTTCCTATCCATTAGCAGCTTCTCAGGCGAAGAGGGGCAATCAATCTCCTCCCATTAAGACTAGGAATTGACTTGACAGACTGAGTACATATGTTTGATTTCATTTCACTGAGTCACTATGAGTTGGAATCAACTCAGTGGCATGCAATAACATACCCCTGGTGATGCGATGATTAAGTAAGTACGTGGCTAGCTGCTGTGTACCATCGAGTTGGAACTGACCCACAGCTGACACATCATGCAGAAGGTTCCAGAGGCAGTGAGCTGCGCAGGAGAAGTGCAACTCCTTAGCATTAAGCCACCAGAGCACCCTCACTGCTTGTGACTAACCAAAAGGTTGTAGTTCAAAATCACCAGCCACTCCACAGGAGAAAAACTTGGTGATCAGCTCATAAAGACAGCTGGAAAACATCTCAGCCTCAGGGAGCCAAACTAAGACATTCTACGGGGAAATTTAATTTTGTCATATTGAGTCACTCAGACTCCAAACCACCTGATGACACACAACAATTACAACCTGTGTCAGTGCTAAGCGCTCACCAGGTATTAGGGAGCGCTGGTGTTATAGCCTGGAGGCGGCTTCCTGACTAAACCAAAAGTGGCGCCTTCCGGAAGTTCAAATTCACCAGCAGCTCCCAGGAGAGATGGACAAACTCCTCTCATACAATTTATAGCCTCTGAAAATCCATGGGAGGGTCAGAAATGAGCTGCTTCAGATTTGATGGTAATGAGTTTCCAGACATACTAAACTAACTTAATAAATCTAGGAACAACTGGGGAAAGGAAAAACTATTATTATTATTATTGCCACTTCACAGATGAGGACACTGAGGCACACAGCAATTCAATGAAACCCAAATTTACCACTACTAGTTGATGCAGCTAAAAGTCTGGCATTACAATTATAGATTCAGGCCCAAGCTGCAATCACTGGAAACTTCTAGGTTGTTTTTTTTTTAAAAAAAACAAATGTACTTCCCCTAACTAGTTGGCTCAACATACTCTATCCCTTCCACTTCCCTGCCTCTCCCACTCCACCCAGAATACTCAGAGCTGAACACGCTGACCTTGAACCTAAATTTGAATGACCCAGTGGCAGTCACATGTAAAGACTGAAAACAGGAACCAAGACCACACTAACTGGATATTGAAATTCCAAACCACTGACACTGTTTTTAGAATCGACCTCTGATGATGCCCTTTGACCTGGCTCCAACAGTGGCTGAGATAAGGTATGGGCCAATGGCAGAAGGCCAGGCCCCAGCAAATCCAGCCACTCGGGGCCTCTGAGCTGGAAGACACCTTCAAACGCCCAGGGTTAGCCCACTGCTTTTCTCCCAAGAGCGCCTCTTGTACCACACCTCAGAACTCCCTCTTTTGAAAGACGTTATCTCTCGTTAATGGACACATCTGTGTCTCCTGACTGTGAGTAGGTGCCCTCAGGAGTAAACAAAAGGGATATGGCCCAGGAGCCTGACTGGCTTCAACAGTAGCTCAATGAAGGCAAAGAGCTTTTTGAGTTCTAAAGAGTCCTTCACAAGGCACGGTTCCTAGGCTGGTGGCTGGGACAGGCCAGTGGCCCAGGGCTGGGGCACTATCCAGATGACAAACAAGGCTGGTCCTGCAGCCAACAATGCACAGCAGTAGAGTTTGAAAAGGAGATCAATTAAAGGGTTGGGCGGGTAGAGGGTCCGTGAAAAAGAGGAAGCCCAGTGGGTTCAAAGATGGTGCGGGGCCTGACAGTTCTTCACTCTGTCGTATATGGAGTTGGTTTCAATCAATGGAACTAACTTGATGGCAACTAACAACAAAAAAAAACAGGATAATGGAGCTAGATGGGGTGGTCCTGTCTGGGGATTTAAAAAAACCAGATAAACTGGGAAAGACCTCTATGTGTAGGGTGAATGAGATCTGCGGCTCCCCCTACTCATCTCTGCAGGTAAGGACTTCCCGAAGGAGTTCTCCCGCAGGAACCAGGCTGCCGGTCCTCACAATCAGACTCTGTATCCGGAGGCACAGATCCGGGTAGTCTGATCCCATGAGCTGCTTGAGGGCACCCTCATCCAGCAAGCTCTCTTCTACACAGGCCTGAGTACAATAGAAACGGTAACAGAAGCTCTTAGTCTCTACCCCGAAAACTGCAAACCACAGGGTTTTCAGTAGTGAGTATTTAGAATCTGACTGCCCCATCCTTTCTTCCCCGCCTTCATCTGCAAGCTCTGCTGAAATCTTTCCTCCGGGGATGATCCTGCTGACATCTGAAAGCTCCTACCTAAAGCATAAAGAGCTCTAGTGACATAACGTGCAACATGTCAGGTTGCTAACCGAGAGGTGAGCAGTTCTAATCCAAGCACGCAAACTGCTCCAGGAGAGTAAGATGGGCTATCTCCCCCTACACACACACTTCCAGCTTCAGAACAGAGGAGAGCTGCTCTGCTTCAGAACTGATAACAGTCGGTTGGCGTGGGTTGGCTTGGCTTGGGTTTGCTCACAGTACAGTTAACTGCTCTTCTGCGAAACAAAAAGTTGATTTTCTAATCTCCCTAGCCACTCTGAAGGAGAAAACCCCAGTTGTGATCTGCTTTTGTAAAGATTTCAGCTCAGAAATCACATAAGACAAGTCTACATTGCATCTCAGCATCAAGAAAACAAAAATCCGCACCATCGGACCAATAGGCAACATCATGATAGATGGAGAAAACATTGAATCTGTCAACAAATTCATCTTGCTTGAATCTACACTCAGTAGCCTTGGGACTAGCAGTCAGGAGATCAGCAGATGTATCCTATTGGGAAAGTGATGTCAGGGACCGCTCCAAAGTCCCAAAGAGCAACGTGTGCCTGATTCAAGCCACGGTGTTTTCAATCGCCTGCTATGCACCTGAGAGCTGGGCAATGAAAAAGGACGACAGAAAAAGAACGGATGCCTTTGAGCTGTGGTGTTGACTAAGTGATGAACAGACAGACAAAATGGCAAACAGGTGTGTCTTAGAGAAAGTACAGCCCGAGTGCTCCTCAGAGGCAAGGAGGGCAAAGCTTCACCTCACGTATTTCAGGCATGTTGTTAGGAGGGGCTATTCTTTAGAATCATCATCATGCTTGGAAAGGTGGAGGGGCAGGAAAAGAGAAGATGACTCTCAAGGAGATGGAGTGGCCCAGTGATTGCGGCAATGGGCTCAAGTGTGTCAGAGATGGTGAGAATGGCACAGGATAGGGTAGGATTCATGTCTGTTGTTCATAGGGGTCGATAAGAGTTGTACTCCACTCAACCGACACCTACCACCACCACCACTTGGATCCTCTAGGGGCTGAAATTAACTTTACAGCATACAACAGCAGGTTTCCAACATTAACACACAGGCCATCAAAGTTCAACAGATTGCAGGCAGGTGGTGGAACTTCCGGGTAGGGACTATTATCATCTATTTTATGACTCCCAGCTGGGACAGGGAGCTAGGCTTTAGACTCAGGTGTCTCTCAATATCCAGCTCCCAGAGAAGCCGATAAGATAAAGGAAGGGCGGGGCCTGGAATTGGGGAGGCTTGTACTCTGGACCCAGCACCTCTGTAAACCGCCTCCCCCAACCTTGCCCAGCCTGTCTCCTTTCACAAAACAAGAAATGCCTTTATTCTTCTTGCTCATAGCAGCCACCAGGGCTGTGATAAATGAGATAAAGCCTAGCGTTGGAACTTCGGACTTGTGGACAGCTCAGAGGGGTCTGTGAAAGACCACATCTTTAAGCTTCTGCCTTGAGTTCAAAGGAAAGGTATGACCCTCCTAAACCACTAGGTGATGACAGCCCAAGGCCCCTTAGAAATTGACCTCATCTAACTGCCCTCCCTTTTTCACTGATGAGGCCTCAGGCCAGAGAAGCAGCCAAGCAGCCAGGAGAGGGCGCTGTGGTAGCTCAAAGGCGAGCTCACCCTGTGAGTCATTCCTGCCGAGGGACTCCAGGGGCCCTGCACATGTCCTCTGTCCTCTAATCACATTAATCCTCTACATCACCAGGGGCTTCTGCCTCCATAACCTCTGGCCTCTGACCATGCCTTGTGCTCTGGACTCTGCGAATCAAAACCAAGCTCACTGCCACTGAGTTGATAACAACTCACAGGGATTTCCTTTGGGTTTCTGAAACAAACCTTTTTTATTTATTAGCATTAGTGAGGGTTCACAAAGCAAATTAACTTTTCATTCAACCATTCATATACATTTTGTTTTGTAACATTAATTTCAATACTCACCGTAATCACACCCTTACCATTTCCTTCCTAAAATACTGATTTCCACTAGTCTTGTTATACCATTCTGCCTTTTTCTTTAGTGACATTGTGTTGATCATCCCCTTAATGGATACTGCTTTTCTCTTAACAAAAGCTTTAAATCTTTAGGGGATCGCATAGATGGATCTGAACCCCGAATCTTTCAGCTTGTAGCACAAGCAACACGTAAGGTATGAAGCCAGTGGACCTATTCACAAGAGGCACGGAGCGAAATTGCACTCTGCGGAGTCAAACCACCTGGGCTCTCAATTCCCCCTCCATCACTTCATTGCATTATCTCAGGCTAAATGAACCTCCCTGGACGTATTTCCTTAACTATAAATTGAAAATAATCAGACTGGTGTCCTGGATGCTCCCAGGACCTCGTGAATGAACAGAGATAACCCCCTGGGCTCATAACTGATATTTAAAACGATCCACAAGAACAAGAGATAAGCACAACAAGGTGGTCTCTCTAAACGTATGTGGGAATGTGGGTTTGGTGGGGGTAGGGGGAGGCCCATACATGATATGCAGAATCTGTTTCTATTTGGCATTCTGGATTCTCAGGCCCTGCATAGCCAAGCCCCCAGGGGATCCAGGGAGTGGCAGACTTGCCCCGGGCCATGTCCACTGCATAACCAAGTCGTCCAGACCTCCCCGACGACCCCTACCTCCAGGTCAGCGCTGGCCTGGCTCAGTGGCGTCGGCGAGCAGGCCTTGTGCTCCACCAGGCAGATGTGGCAGATGCACTCGCTGTGCTCTGGGCAGAAGAAGTCCCGCAGGCGGTTGTGCTGGGGGCACTTGCGGCGCAGCAGGTCGCGGATGGGCGGCTGCAGCGGGTGGTCCCGGAAGATCGGGCTGTCGAGGTGCGGCCGCAGGTGCTCCTGGCAGAAGGAGGCCATGCACACCAGGCACGTCTTGGCGGCCGTCTCCTTGAGGCAGTGATCGCAGGCCACCTGCCCGGCGGACACGAGGGCCTCAGCGCGGGTGGGCAGCGTGCAGCCGTCGGCGGCCGCCCGGGCCAGCTCAGTGTGCAGGAACTGCTCGACCACCGCGCACAGCACAGTGTTCTTCTGCAACTGCGGCCGCGTCTGGTAGACGGCGCGGCACTGCGGGCACCGGTAAGGAGCGCCCTGCACCGCCCACGTCTCGTCCAGGCACAGCGAGCAGAAATTATGGCCACATGGCGTGGTCACCGGCACTTTGAAGGGTTCCAAGCAGATAGCGCACGACAGCTCTTCGGCCAGCGGTTTCAGCTCCGCCATGGCAAGCCGGGGAAATGGGACAGGACGCCCTCAATCTGCGACGGCAGCGCTTCACCGTCGGCCGAGACAGAAGAAACGAAAGTGATACAGAGGCAGAGACTCAGGAAGTCACATGGGGTCGCGGGGGCGGGGTCAGTGGGGCGGTGGGTGTGGCCGAGGAGCGATGTGCGGAGCCTAGAGGGGAGGTGGGCGTGGCCGAGGGGGCGATAGGAGAACCTCAATAGCATGTGGGCGTGGCCTATGGCCGGTGAGCGTGACCTTAGAGCAGTGGTCGGGCATCGATGGCCTGTGGACCCGGCCTAAGGGAGGTGGGCGGGGCGAGAGTGGGGGGAGGGTGGGGGGCCGAGTCCCCCACTAGCTGCCCTGGGGGAGCTCATCGCTCATCGCCATGGTGGTTTCCAAGGCTGCTGAGTAGGGGTTTCTTAGCATCTTCAGGCGAGGTCCAATTGCACTTGAGATGAACGTTTACAGAGCACATTAGGTGTCCTCTCAATTTGTTCTTGTTTGCTATCAAGTAGAAACACAGCTGACCCTCCAGTGGGGTTTTCACAGGCAGGTAAATCGCGCAGAAAAAGATTGCCCATCTGTCTCCCGCAGAGTAGCTGGTGGCCTCGAACCGCGTGGCTTTGGCATTGCAATGCAACTTTACCACTGCAGGTCACCAGAGCCCACTTCCTTTTGATAGATTGTACATAGTGTCCCATGACACTGGTTGCGTCCCACCGTTTGTCAGCACTCTTCTTTTGGCCGCCCTGTGTTCCCAGTTTTTCACCATCCCTTGCAGCCTTCCCATCTTTGCTCCCCGCCCCCAAGATTCTTTTGACCTCAGCTATTGGTTGTTCAAGGTACACCTTCTTCTCGCGCGATACTGTTGTTTACTTTGTGAGCCTGTCGTCTGGCTGAAAAGTGGTGTCTGGAATCGCATCAGTTTCAAGTCTAAAGGGTGTCTTGGAGCCGGAGTTCCCGCCATCTGTAGCAGAGCATTAAATCTGGACTTTCTTGGTCAGACCTTTTATCCTCTACAGTTTTCTCCCAGACTGTCCAGGACCCTCTGTTGTGGTTGTTGGCAATGCTATTCTGGCACTAACTGACTGATTTCTTCTGAGCTGTGTGGTTCATGTGGTCCAAGAGTTCTTTGGATTAGCTGCTCCTTGAGTCTTTGGTTTTCTTCACTCTTTTTTTTTTTCTGTTTAGCCAATATATCAGTAGATGTGTCTGAGATGGCTTCTCGAAAACTTAACAGTCTGGACACTACCTACCAAGAAAGGACATAGATAATTATCTTTACGGACTATGCTGCTCCAGTTGACATAGATATTTACCAAGTGTGCTTCAAGCCTACAAACTTGGTCACTAGAGGAGCTTAGTTATATCAGCAAAGCTTCCATAACTGTGCCATTCACGTTATCTACTACCAACACTAATATAAATTAAGCACCAACAATTGTTGTTAGGAGCCGTTGAAAAACTGTAACCGTGTGTGTAGAAATAGCCTCAATCAAACCTTTATCTGCAAATGAATGTGCTTCCTTCCCCTCCCCCAACTGCTTTAGCATACCATCTACGCATATAGCTATTTGTACAATATTATTTGTTAAATCTATTGCAGAATTGTCAGAGTAAAGATCAACGTTTCCCTTTATTCTCACATTCCTGACTTGTTTTCCTTTGATCATGTTGTGCTCACTTTCCCATTTTGTGTGTTGCCTCTCCCTTGACTGTATTTAACATGTTTTCTATTTCTTAAAAAACTAAAAAAATAGTTGTCTATCTAAGAATTTATCCTCTCTTTCTCTCTCACCCCTGTTAAATATAAAAGAAACATTTCTTCTGTGTATAAACCTTTCCTTTATTTCTTATTATTTTAGTCGGTTTGTCCTTTCGTGGTTGATTTACTTCACTCAGCACAGTGTCCTCGAAATTCATTTATGTTGTGAGATGTTTTGTGGATTCATCATTATTCTTTATCATCAGTTAGGATCCCATTGTGTATATGCACCACTGTTTGTTTATCCATCCTTCTATTGAAGGGAACTTACACTGTTTCCTTCTTTTTGCTATTGTGAATTATGCTACAGTGTACATGGCTGTGCATTTTCTCTTAGGGTATATACCTAAGTGTGGGATTACTGGGTCATAAAGTATTTCTGTTTCTGTGTTTCCACTTTCCATATCATTTTCCAAAGTGCTGGTACCTCTTTAGATTCCCACCAGCAAGAGTTCTAATCTCTTCACAACCTCACCAACATTTGTTATCTTATTTATTCCTGTCATTATTGTCATTATTAATTAATAGCTCATTGAAATTTTTCTTTCTATAGCTTCTGAGGCTGGAAGAAAAGACCTTGAAACCTGTTCTAGAATGCAGAATAGTGAAAGGAAGAAGTAATGAAGTAAAAGAGCTAAACAGAATATTTTGAAGGGCAGCTTGAGAAGAGAAGGTATTATAATGAAATGTGAAATATCTGGAGTTAGAAAGTCCAGAAGAGAAGAAAGGTTGAAGAAAGGTTGGCACTTATCAAGCTGAAAATCTAAAGAAATAGCAATATTGAAGGATTCTGCAGGCAAGATAATCAACAATGCAGAAGTCAACAAAATAAGATGGAAGGAATGCACAGAGTCACTGTACTGAAAAGGACTGTTGAGTGCCCAACATTTCAGAAGGAAGCATATGATCAAGAGCCAGGGGTACTCAAGGGGGAAGTCCAAGTTGCTCTTTTCACTAGAGGCACTGGGGAAAAGCAAGACTTTAGACATTGGTAGAATACCAATTGACATTTCAGGAACTGGCAGAGCACCAATTGGAATGTCTCAACAAACAGGCAGATGCAATCCTGGAAGCACTTCCATCTATGCTCTGAAATTGCAAGACTGCTGCTTGACCGAGTGACTGGAAGACAGCCATATCTGGATTCATTTTAAGAAAGGTGATCTAATAAAATAAAGAAATTACTGAATCATTTTGTTAATAATACACAAAAGTAAAATTTTGCAAAGTGTAATTCAAAATTTATTGCAGCAGTACATCAACAAGAAGCTTCCAGACATTCAAGACAGATTTAGAAGAGGGTGTGGAACAAGGAATATCATTGTTGATGTAATTAATATCAGAAGGATGTGGGCTGAGAGCAGCAAATATCAGAAAGATGTTTCCCTGTATTTTATTGACTATGCAAAGACATTTGACTGTGTGGATAAATTAACAAAGTATAGATAACATTGCAAAGAAGAGGAGTTCCAGGATACAAAACTGTGTTCATGAGGAACTTGTGTATAGACAAGACACACACAGTTCCTTGGTTAAAAATCAGGAAAGAGATTGTATCAGGGTTCTATCCTTTCGTCATACTTATTAAATCTGAATGCTTAGCTAATAATCCAAAAAGCTGGAGTATGTGAAGAAGAATTTGGTATCAGAATTAGAGGAAGACTCATCAATAGTCTGTGATATACACATGACACCACTTTGACTTCTGAAAGCCAAGAGCACTTGATGCACTTATGTCATCCATGTGCAGAGGCCATCCTACTCTCTGTACGTTCCAATTTTAGTATATGTGCTGCCGAAGTGGGCACTTGATGCATTCATTTATGTTGCTGGTCCAAGACCTCAGCCTTTGGATTATACCTCAACATAAAACAAAAATCCTCCCAACTAGATGAATAAGAAGCATAATGAAAAACAGAAAAGAGATTGAAGTTGTCATGGATATTGTTTTACGAGGATCCACAAAGCCCAAAGAAGCAGCAGTAAAGAAACCAAATGCGCCAATCTGTGGCAAAAGACTTATTTTCAAGTATTAAAAATAAAAAATGTTGCTTTGAAGATTAAGATATCCCTGACTCAAGCCGTAGTATTTTCAGTTGTCTCCTGTCTAAGTGAAAACTGGTGCTTTGGAGCAAAAGCTCAGGCTGGACTTGCCTGATACTGAGCCAACTTAAATTCAAATTGACATCTCAAAAAACGTCCACACTTGTCTCTTCTGTCTAATCCTAGACATTTTCATCACCCAGAAAGAAACTCTGTACTCGATAGCAGTAATTCCCCACTTGCCCATCTTCCCTATCCTTGCTTTTGTTGTTGTTAGGTGTCATCAAGTCAATTACAACTCATAGCAACACTATAAACAACAGATCTGAACCTGCCCTGTTCTGCCCCGTCCTGCCCCATCATCATCCCCTCTGGTCTGAGAGGCCCAAGTGCATTGTTACAGTCACTGTGTCGATCCAGCCTGTCTAGGGTCTTCCTCTCTTTCGTTAACCCTCCATCTTTTCCAGCATCAATGATGTCCTTTTCCAAATTCTAACCCCCCTGACTTCATACCCAAAGTATGTAAGGTTCCCCATCTTTTAATGCGCTTCCTCCAAGACAGACTTGTCTGCTCTTTTGGCAGTCCATGGAGTATTCGGTACTCTCCAACACCACAGCTCAAAACCACCAATTCTGTCCTTCCTGTCAATCACTAATAAACTTTCAAATTCTATGAATTTGCCTATTGTCGGCATTTCATCCAAATGAGATCATAAAATATGCGATTTTTTGCATCTGATTTCTTTCACTTAGCACACTGTTTTCAAGGTTCATCCATGTGTAGTGTCTATCAGTACTATTTCTGAGAAAATTCCTCATTTTCTCAGAGATACTCACCTGCTCTCATTTCCATCCAGTCAGAGTCAGCTCATAGCTGACCTCCAGTGAGTTTTCAGAGGCTGTAAATTCCATGGGAGGAGATTGCTTGTCTTTTTTCCCAAGGAAGGAGGTTCTGGTAGATTTGAACCAGCCACATTTAGGTTAGCAGCATAACTCCCTAGGGCTAGGTGCTCTGGAGTCAGAACCATCTCAATAGCAACTATATAAATTCAAAATAAAACCCTGCCCAATCCTGCCCACAATCTCGGCGATGTGTAAACCCACCATGACAGTCACTCTGTCAATCCATCTCATCAAGTCCATCTCCTCTACACTGACTCATCAGTCCATCTCCTCTACACTGACTCAT